GGGTTTTTTTTTTGGGTTTTTGGGCTTGTGATTTAATGATGGTGATTATTGAATACAGGTATTGGAGTTGGCTGGGAATGCAGCAAGGGATAACAAGAAGAATTGCATAGTGCCAAGGCACATTCAGCTTGCAGTGAGGGATGATGAGGAGCTTAGCAGGCTTTTGTGTGGATTCTATTTTCCAAATTAGTTGCCTTAGGAAATTTGTACTTTGTCTAGGTGAGAAAATGTTATTGTTTAGTGCCAAAGTTTGATTATTATAGTAATTAACATTGGAATTTTGATATGTATGGTTAATTTGGAAATTTAGAAATTGCAGCAGCCCTTTAATTCATTCAGCACAAACAATATATTCTTTTTTTTTTTAGAAAAAGAAATTTTATTCCATGAAACAATGAATTACAAGAAGCAAATGAATTCAAAAATTTTAATTACAAAGAGTTGGCTTTAATCCTTCAAAAGGATTAAAACCAGAAATTTATCAAGCACAGTCCAGCTGCCCAGCCAACAAAACAGCCCATGGCCTAACACACCATAGACTGCTTGCAGACAGAACCCAAAACCTGGACCTGCTATTCCTCCAGCTGCTGAGTGAGCTTCTCTTTACTGTGCTCTATACCCCATAGCTTAGCTCCTGCTCCATTGCTCACAGCTCAGCTCTCAGCAACAACATCACAGTCCTATATGACATACTCATTAGGCATATTATATAACAAAAATGTCTAGTGTCAAGGCCAAATCATCAAGCTTGGAGGGCACAATAGCTTATTTTGATTCTATCTGCATTTGTTCACTTCTTGTTGGGTATTTTCTCTATGCTCTTTTATGTGTGTTTAAGGGGGATATTTCACGGCTCATAGAGATGCAGCAAAATTTAACTGAAAGATACCAAAGTACAAGCCTGAATGAGCAGCAAAGCTAGAACTTTCATAAGTGCAATCTTACTTTTATTTTTATGAGGTTGCAGTAAACAGGAAAGGACAACAGCAAAATATTCATTATGAATTGCCATCACAACTCATTCATTTCTGACTAAAAAAAAAATTGATTCATAGTATTGAATTCAATTTTTGATTCACAGCAGCAAAATATTCGATTGAATTTAATTTTGATTCACCATAGCAAAAATCGAAGACAAATTTTGATTCACAGCAGAAAAAGAAAGAGAGTTCAATCCATATCTCTATCTGAAATCGAAGCCAAATTTCAATGTACCAAATCTGAGAGTTCAGCCCATTCAATAGAACAAAAATCTGAAAGAGAGTTTAGCCAAATTTTAATTAACAAAATCTGAGAGTTCAGTCCACAAAAATTTGAAAGAGAGTTCTTTCTGGANCTGAGAGTTCAGCCCATTCAATAGAACAAAAATCTGAAAGAGAGTTTAGCCAAATTTTAATTAACAAAATCTGAGAGTTCAGTCCACAAAAATGTGAAAGAGAGTTCTTTCTGGCATTTTCTCAAACAGGTGGAGGGTGGGAAGGACGAGTCTACGACTTGTGTCATCATTTTCATCAGGAACAGAAATATAAAAGGAATAGACAGAAATATATGTAAGCGTGCTGGAATTGGATTACAGAGATCTAAGGGAAAAGACAAGTAGTTGATCCTGTAGATTCTGGAAAAACCACAAATCCTTATCAATGTAGATAATCAATGAAGTCAGTATAGAGAGACTTGGAAGCTCCCTGGACGAGACTGTGGATTGGAGGAAGGGGAGGATGTGATCTTCTCAGTGCATTAACGGGTTTCGTAGTAGACAAGGGAAGGAAGAAGATTAGTAATTAGAGAGAGAGAGGGGNTGGACGAGACTGTGGATTGGAGGAAGGGGAGGATGTGATCTTCTCAGTGCATTAACGAGTTTCGTAGTAGACAAGGGAAGGAAGAAGATTAGTAATTGGAGAGAGAGAGAGAGAGAGAGAGGGACAGAAAGCATGCGTAGGAAGGGATCTGAAGGTGATTTATTGGACAAAAACCGATACCGTCTTTGGTGAGGAAGAATAAAAAAAAAATATACAAAAAATATCTGAAACGCCACCATTCCATTTAACCGCATATCATGCGGTAAATGGGTTACCCCATAGGAGCCGCTCCCNCAGAAAGCATGCGTAGGAAGGGGTCTGAAGGTGATTTATTGGGCAAAAAACGATACCATCTTTGGTGAGGAAGAATAAAAAAAAAATATACAAAAAATATCTAAAACGCCACCATTCCATTTAACCGCATATCATGCGGTAAATGGGTTACCCCAGAGGAGCCGCTCCTTGCTTCAAAGATTGAAATTTTACCGTTCTCATCTGCCCCCACTTTTATATGTTCAGAAATAAGATTGTTCCAAGATATCACCTCCCTCTCAGACCTTTCCTCAAACAATTCTTGTCCATTAAGAGTACCTCAGTTCATATGCATATCCAACTGTAAAGTTTCAAAAACTTTTTTTTTTTTGTAAAGTTTCAATTACATTACTCTACCATGAACTCGCTTACAAAGACTCACTCACGAAATTCCTCCGCAACACCTAATAAGAAATGGGTTTGTATATATCTTAGAAAAACTAGGCACGACAAATCGTGGATGTGCTTACCTCGTGTATTTGGTTGTGTGTACATGTCCTAAGCACAGAGGTGTACAATAAATTTTTTGGGCTCAATTACCTGTTTGAATAGCAAGCTTGCAGAGTCTATTTCTTCATTTCGAATGCTATCCACCACTTTTGCTTCACCCAAGAAGTTGCGTTGTGATTATGTGAACTAGATCATTTGGGCATGTGTTTTCTTCAAGCGCCCCACGTTTGAACGATTCCGCAATATGAGTATCAACATATCTTCCAATACTCTTAACTGTCAAGACAACAACTTTTGCTGCCAATGTCAAAGTGGGTGATGGGGAAATTCGATATCTTTTTTTGCAACAACTTCAAGGAATGACCCGAAATGCTGAAAAGGGTAAGGGTACTGGTAAAGTTTATACAAGTTATTTTCTGAGGTCATAATAAATTCTTTAAGATCACTTTGGTTAAAAATTCAGAACTTGGAAGACCCAACTGATCTTTTGTGATCTAAAGGTTGCTATATTGTGATCACAAAAGTTGAAGTTTGGACCTTTTTAAAGGTTGCAAAGAGCATACTCAGTTTTGTGACAGGGGGCTTTCCCCATTTTGCTAATTCTTTGATAATCAAACGTTCCATATTGAAGTTTCAATTATGATTGAAAGGCAAAATTTTGCGGAGCTTTTGAGAAAATGTTCGAAGAATGTGCAATTTTGTCAAGGAATGCAAGTTCATGCAAGTGTTGTGAGAAGGGGTTATGGGCTGGACATGATGATAAACAATGATCTTATAGATATGTATGGAAAATGTGGAAGAATGGACAAGGCTTGTGCTGTGTTTGATAGAATGCTTGAGAGAAATGTTGTTTCTTGGACCGCTCTAATGTGTGGATACTTACAAGAGGGTAATGCAAAAGGTCCTTTGTTGCTTTTACGTCGAATGGGTTCTTCTGGGGTTAAGCCTAATGAGTTCACATTTTCGACAAATTTTAAGGCATGCGGGTTTTTGGGTGTTGCTGAAAATGGGATGCAGATTCATAGTTTGTGCAGTAAAAGTGGGTTTGGATGGTATCCTGTGGTGGTTAATTCTATTATAGATATGTATTCTAGATGTGGAAGCATAAATGAAGCAGGACGGATGTTTGATAAAATGCCGATTAGAAGTCTGATAAGTTGGAATGCAATGATAGCAGGATTTGCCCTTGCAGGGATGGGCGACAAATCTTTATTTCTGTTTAAAGAAATGCGACTGCACGGAGAAACGCCTGATGAGTATACATTTACAAGCACTTTGAAAGCTTGTGGTGGACTTGGAGCTATTCGAGGAGGAACTCAGATTCATGCTTTTTTGGTTACAACAGGGTTCCCTATTTCGGTTAAGACAATTATTGTAGGTGCCCTTGTTGATCTGTATGTGAAATGCGGGTACTTGTTTGAAGCAAAGAAAGTGTTTAATCAAGTTGAACAGAGGAGTGTTATATCTTGGACTGCTCTAATTATAGGTTTTGCTCAAGAAGAAAACCTCGCAGAGGCCATGGACTTGTTTAGGCAGCTTAGGAACAGTAGCATCCGAGTAGATGGGTTTGTTCTCTCAAGCATGATGGGGGTATTTGCTGATTTTGCTCTTGTAGAGCAAGGTAAGCAATTGCATTCTTATGCCACTAAAATTCCATATGGTCTAGACATCTCAGTAACTAATTCGACTGTAGATCTGTACCTCAAGTGTGGGTTAACAGAGGAAGCAGAAAGACTTTTTGGTGAAATGCCAAGGAGGAATGTGGTTTCTTGGACAGTTATGATTACTGGGTATGGGAAACATGGTCTTGGCAAAGAAGCAATTCACCTCTTCAACAAAATGCGGTTAGATGATATTGAGCCGGACGGAGTGACGTATTTGGCTGTACTCTCAGCTTGTAGTCATTCAGGCCTTATTGAAGAAAGTCAAGAGTACTTCGCAAGATTATGCATGGACCACCAAATTAAACCTAGAGTAGAGCACTACGCTTGCATGGTTGATATTCTTGGTCGAGCTGGACGTTTAAGAGAAGCTAAGAATCTTATAGAGAACATGCGACTAAAACCGAATATAGGGATATGGCAGACATTGCTTAGTGCTTGTAGAGTGCATAGAGATGTAGAAACGGGAAGAGCAGTAGGGGAGATTCTCTTGACACTGGATGGTAACAACCCAGTCAATTACGTTATGTTATCAAATATATATGCTGATGCTTGCTATTGGAAAGAGTGTGAGAGATTGAGACTGTTGGTGAAGGCAAAGGGATTGAAGAAAGTAGCAGGACGTAGTTGGGTTGAGATTGATAAGAAGGTTCACTTTTTCTACAATGCAGATGACACACATCCACTTACAGAAAGTATCCATGAAATTTTGAAAGAAATGGAGAGAAGAATTAAAGAAGAAGTGGGTTATGCTTATGAAGTGAGGTTTGCATTGCATGACGTGGAAGAAGAGTCAAAGGAGGAGAGCTTGAGAGTTCACAGTGAAAAGTTGGCAATTGGGTTGGCATTACTTTGTGGTGGACTGGAAAAAGAGGGAATGCCTATTCGGATTTTCAAAAACTTGAGAGTTTGTGGTGATTGTCACGAATTCATCAAGGGTTTGTCAAAGGTTTTGAAGGTGGTCTTTCTGGTAAGAGATGCTAACAGGTTCCACAAGTTTGAGGATGGTTTTTGTTCCTGTGGAGATTATTGGTGACATGAGTTATTATTCTCAAATGAATTTGGTAATCATTCTGCGATGAACACTGCAGCAAGCTTTGGTTTCTGATCTCTTGGTATTGCTGATGGCAACCAGAGGCTGAAATGCAAGTCTGATGGAGAAGCATTTTTGCAGGTGAAAATGAGCTTTCTGAAAGAACTGGAAAAGAAGTGATATGACACAGCTTAACTGGGTGAGCATGCTGCTCCCTCTCTCTCTCTCTCTCTCTCTCTCTCTCACACACACACACACACACACAAATGCCAACCTTAGCTTCTCATCCATTAAACACAAAGAACACTTTGTTTCTTAACTAGTTGTGGACCAGACATTTCGAAAAACTTCATTGGTTTAATGAACTTATGGATAGAACATTCCACCTTGTTGTTCTCTTGAAGGGCATCCATGATGCATGGCCTGGTCAAGACTCGAGATAGTTCAAACTATGATACCCTTTACCACTCTACATCTAGGTTTACCAGTCACGCTATAAATAGAAACTTTAGGATTTTCCTATAAATCAAGCTTATGCCTATTATATGTAAATGTCCATACAATTGTGCTGGGCGGACTGATCAAGTTTTATGTTGTTTGGCAATGGTTGGCATAATAAATGCCAGGCACAATAATTCAGTGACAGAACTGGAGTCTAATCTCGGACTTGCTTTCCTTTTCTTTCTTTTTATTCACTTTCCTTTTTGTTTGCCCTTTTTTTTTTGTGTGTATTCACTTTTCTTGTTGAACTTTCAAGAGAACCTTGTTTACGAAAAAGAAGGTGCACAGAAGTATAGAACTGGAGGCACCACATCTTCAACTGTTTTGTTATGTGTGGTTATGTGGTTTCAGAAGAGTGGGTTTTACTGCACAGAGGACGGATGAGATTGCAGTTAAAAGGGCAGCATCGGTAGAAGGCCTAAAGCTTGAGAGGGGAACGAAGAGGACAGAGAGGCATGTTGAACAGAGAGACCAAGCTGAAGCTAATGCTGAATTAAGCGCATAGAAGGAATTTGAACTCAGGGAAGGTAACCCTCAAGTCTCAACCATCACCTAATTCAGGAATCCATTTTTGGGTGGCTTCAGGGCCAAGTGGTATGGTAGAAGTAAAGATCCAACTGTGAGATTGAGTATCCTTAAAACATGTCGCAGTTGATTGCCCATGTTGATGATCCCTCCTACTGATGATAACAGTAAAGAAAAACAAAGGTTATATAGTGTCACCAATGGAGTAATCCATGATCTCCAATTGCCAATGCCTTACAAATTAAGCGTTGTTTTGGTTCTTCACATGGGTAGTTTGTTCACTATAGAAAAATTCATGATTGTTGTGCGTGCAATATCCTGCACAATATAAAAAACGAGAACAGATCTCTCCCTTGGCGANGTTGTGCGTGCAAGATCCTGCACAATATAAAAAACGAGAATAGATCTCTCCCTTGGCGAACTTGAGTGGACCGGTTGAGTGACTAAACACGCTGCTTGGGACAGCCTGCAAGGTACGGTGGTAACCTGGAACGGCAACGGGAGACCCTGGAAAAGGAAGAACGATCCTGTAAGGCTGAAAGAGGTTCCTGGAACAAAGAAGAACAAGTTAGAAGGGCGCCGGAGTGTTTTTCGGCGTATCCCCTCCGACGATCTAGTCAGTCTTTGAGAGAGAGAGAAAGGAGAAAACACTGAGTGTGTATTGTAGTCAAGAGTTTGTTGTTGCATACCCGCTTTGCCTTTTGCAAGGAGTATTTATACCTTAAAAGCTCATGATTGCTGTCAGTGTCGTCAGTAGGTGATCATTAGGCACAGGTAGCGTGTGCATTGATTCTGATGAGGAATGTCTTCTCTAATTAACTGCTCGGGGTCCCGAGCAATCAATGCTGGGTCATCGGGATGCCGACGGTACAATGTGCTCCTCTCGGGGAGGATGCAATAAATGCTCTGTATTAGGAGCATTTATTGCCTTTCATTTCCGAGCCTTACCGCATTGAATGCGGTCTCATCAAGGGAATGGTGCAATTAATTGTTTGCTTTCCCAAGTCGCGTGTCAGCAACGGCATGCGGTTTGTCTGTCTTTGATGTGATATCATATGCCACGCGTCCATCCCCTATTGGCTGTGACCTCTGTATTCCAGTACGTTCTGACATTACTTGTGTAAGACGAGGTCATGATGAATAGCCTAGACTAGCCTAGGCTAATGACCTGTACGTCAATAGCTTATCCTGGAGTAGAGGAAGCGTCCAGGACGGGGTACCTCTCGGCACCGAGGAAAGGCTCATCTCGGGGACCGAGGGAGGTATGCCGACCGAGGTACATATCAGACCGAGGCCACGTGTCGGTTGTAAAATATACTGAATGTATGATCCTATATGACGGTACCTCAAAGGCGAGGACATTCGTGCACCGATGGTGCTTGATCTTAGCAACAGTGTTTTAGTAAAACCGAGGACACGTGTCTTCATCATAGGGTATTTCAGAAAAGTCCCATCAACTGCCCCCCAGCATTCGATCTTCTGACACTNGGAATGTCTTCTCTAATTAACTGCTCGGGGTCCCGAGCAATCAATGCTGGATCATCGGGACGCCGACGGTACAATGTGCTCCTCTCGGGGAGGATGCAATAAATGCTTTGTAATAGGAATATTTATCGCCTTTCATTTCCGAGCCTTACTGCATTGAATGCGGTCTCATCAAGGGGATGGTGCAATTAATTGTTTGCTTTCCCAAGTCGCGTGTCAGCAACGGCATGCGGTTTGTCTGTCTTTGATGTGATATCATATGCCACGCGTCCATCCCCTATTGGCTGTGACCTCTGTATTCCAGTATGTTCTGACATTACTTGTGTAAGACGAGGTCATGATGAATAGCCTAGACTAGCCTAGGCTAATGACCTGTACGTCAATAGCTTATCCTGGAGTAGAGGAAGCGTCCAGGACGGGGTACCTCTCGGCACCGAGGAAAGGCTCATCTCGGGGACCGAGGGAGGTATGCCGACCGAGGTACATATCAGACCGAGGCCACGTGTCGGTTGTAAAATATACTGAATGTATGATCCTATATGACGGTACCTCGGGGGCGAGGACATTCGTGCGCCGATGGTGCTTGATCTTAGCAACAGTGTTTTAGTAAAACCGAGGACACGTGTCTTCATCATAGGGTATTTCAGAAAAGTCCCATCAACTGCCCCCCAGCCTTCGATCTTCTGACACCGAGGACACGCGTCGTAAGGAGACGAAGGGTTTCCCAACAACCACCAGTACTTCATCATTGTCTCGAGCCGCTTTCCCCTGCTTGGGATGTCGTGCGCATTAAATGCGCCGTTTCGTTTTTCGCGCCCAATGATGGAAATTGCCTCTATATAAAGGGGGCTTCTCTTCCGTTTTCCTCATTTTGCCATTTCGAACTTCCTCAAGAGAGTCTCTTCTTGAATCTTCGCCGGAGTTTTGTTTCTTCTTCCATCGTCGACTGCTNAGTAAAACCGAGGACACGTGTCTTCATCATAGGGTATTTCAGAAAAGTCCCATCAAGCACCTTGCTTTCCTTGAAAGGTTGTCATGATGATGCTCGCCAGCTCTAGGTCGCTTTGGGGCCCTAGAGCTCTCTGCTTTGTTGTTTAGATGGTTTCTTAGGTTCTTCGTTTCCTCCTCTCGGGCGGGAAGCCCACGGAAAAGGAATGAATCCCTAGAGCCCCTGCCAGAGGCANGGGATTTTCAAGAACAAATACCCTCTTCTTTCTTACTTTTTTAGAGATGCCTCGTCGACGCCCTGCTCCCGAGAATCCTCAGGCTGATCCTTCGGGGTCGGGGAAATATAAAGTGAAGGGTGATAAGCAGATTGGTAGGTTTAAGGTTAAGTACGGCATTCCCCCGTGCGTAGACGTAGAGGGTTATGACCCTGTGTTGCACTCTTCTACCCTCGGGGCCGAGGATGCCATGCCCNGGGGGCTGATCCCCCTGACCTGATTCCCATACTGGTTTGAGGGGTAACCCCTCTTGACCGAGTAGAGGCACTTTTATTCGTGTTGGTGTGATCTCTTCATCCGTGATGACAGGGAGCTTGTAACTCGAGACTCCTTTGGTGGGTCCTTTCCCTTTCTGTCGGNGCTGTGACCTCTGTATTCCAGTACGTTCTGACATTACTTGTGTAAGACGAGGTCATGATGAATAGCCTAGACTAGTCTAGGCTAATAACATGTACGTCAATAGCTTATCTTGGAGTAGAGGAAGCGTCCAGGATGGGGTACCTCTCGGCACCGAGGAAAGGCTCATCTCGGGGACCGAGGGAGATATGCCGACCGAGGTACATATCAGACCGANAGCCGGTTGAGTGACCAAACACGCTGCTTGGGACAGCCTGCAAGGTACGGTGGTAACCTGGAACGGCAACGGGAGACCCTAGGAAAGGAAGGACGATCCTGTAAGGCTGAAAGAGGTTCCTAGAACAAAGAAGAACAAGTTAGAAGGGCGCCGGAGTGTTTTCCGGCGTANTTTTGTTTGTGCAGATATTCCTGCTCGGGAAACAGCTCCTCCCCCTCGGTCGCTGGTGAACTTTGCCGACCTAATCACGGTTTGGAGATTCACGGGTGACAACGGGTTTGGCCGTGCTGCTCACATCCTGCTGAATTATACCCCCGGGTATAAGAAATTTTCACAGCTTCCTCAGCCTTTTGAGCCTTCGCGGTGGTCTGAACTCTTCGATCAGGCGGCGAGGTTAGAGGTTGAGGAAAACTTGGAGAAAAACCCGGATCGAGCTTCGGAGGTAGAGGTAGAGGGAGTTGCTGAAGAGCTCGGGGTCAGAGAGGACGTTGTTCCTTCGGACGCCGAGGTGGGGACTTCGGGAGGAGACTTGTGGCCAGACTTCCAAGTTCTTCAATCCTTAGACGCCGAGGACGCCCTCGAGGTAGCGATGTCCAGCACCCCTCGCATTGATTTGGGGTTCCTTAGGCAGAGGCAAGCCCTCGCAGCCGAGAGGGGTGGAGGAACGACCGGCAACACCCCCTCTGTAGGGACCAGTTCCACCCCATCCTCAAGGGTCCTCGGTCAGGGTCAGGTGCGAGACCGGGATCCTCANGGAAAGGCTCATCTCGGGGACCGAGGGAGATATGCCGACCGAGGTACATATCAGACCGAGGCCACGTGTCGGTTGTAAAATATACTGAATGTATTATCCTATATGACGGTACCTCGGGGGCGAGGACATTCGTGCGCCGATAGTGCTTGATCTTTGTTACAGTGCTTTAGTAAAACCGAGGACACGTGTCTTCATCAAAAGGTATTTCAGAAAAGTCTCATCAATTGTAACTCTCCTAAACCCATTCAATGGGAGAACCATCCATCTCCCATGGTTCAAAGATCCCTCGAACGTTTACCAAGAATGGGTTAATGCTGGTGATGGGACATTTCTGAGACACTCCATGATGAAGACACGTGTCCTCGGTACNGATAACACTTTTTTCCCTCCTTTGCAGGCTACCCAGCAGATCTCCATAATAGCTGCTTGGTACCATGGGTCTACGNTGCAGGCTACCCAACAGATCTCCATAATAGCTGCGCGGTACCATGGGTCTAGGATGGACCTCCAGCGGGCCCGAGAGCAGAAGGAGGAGGCGGAGGGGGCCCTCGCCCGAGCAATGGAGGATGTAGCTGCCAGGGACTCTACCCTGGCGGGGCAGGCTGCTCAAATCGAACAACTCCTCAAGGACGCCGAGTCGGCTAAGGTTGGCGCTGAAAAGCTAAGCGCTGCCCTTGCCGATGCTGAGGGGAGGATAACCGAGCAGACGCGGCGGCTTTTTGCTGCGGAGGAGAGGCCGGTAGGCTCAGAGGAAAGTTGTCTGGCTCTTACCCAGGAGCTGGACCGGATCAGAGCCAAGACGCTGAACAGAAAATCGGAGGAGCAGCTTTNACGCGTGGCATATGATATCACATCGAAGACAGAGAAATCGCATGCCGTTTCTGACACGCGACTTGGGAAAGCAAACCGCATGCCATTTCTGCCGTTTCTGACACGCGTCGGCATCCCGATGACAAAGCATTGATTGCTCGGGACCCCGAGCAGTTAAGAAGAGAAGACATTCCTCATCAGAATCNTCCCTGCTCTTGAAGAAAACAGCAAGGAGTTCTTCAAGAAAGGGTGGGACGAGGCGCTCCAGTCTGCTGGAATCCCCTCAAACTCCCCGCTCTTCCAAATGCACAAGTATGTGCCCTCGACCGAGATGGCAC